CTTTGGGCCAAAGAAGGACTTTTGAAGCGTGATACCAAAAGCAAAAATCACAAAGGCAAAGAATGACAGGCTTAACCACACAGAAACTCAAAACCTTTCTGTGACAAAGAATCCTGTCCTTGAAATCAAATGGTAAATTAATTGACAAAGGGTTGCAATCTCTAGTTCAGGGTTTCTCACGGTGTGGTCTACATACCACTGATGCTATAGGAGAGGAGTTTCAGATCAGATGGTACAAGGACAGAATGGAATCTTAAGTAATATGAAAAATTTCTTGAAAAAAAACTGATCTCTAAATCTAACTCTTCCTCCATGCTAGTATACAACAGCTCAACAGAGAATATTAAATGAATTAGCATACATCAAGCAATCAGAAATATTTTCTATTTTTTCTGAGATTTGTTTATGAGAACTGGCTGTTAGCAGGTCGGTTTACAGGTAGAATCATAGGAATTTTGAAGCTGAAGGGAAGTAAGATTCAGAGTATTTGAGATGACAGAGAGTGAGTATGGTTTGGGACCAAAGGCAGCATATGCTTGATCTAGCCAAGTGTGTGGCTCAGCCTGTAATCCCAGCACTTGAGAGGCAGAGTCAGAAGAATTGTATTGAGTTCAAGACAAACCTGGACTATGATGAGTTCCAGACCAGCCAAGATCAGTGTGAGTTCCAAGCCACCTTGGGCTGTAGTGTGAGACTATCTCAAAAACAAATCTTGGAAATAAATTTGAGGATATAAAAAGAGCAATCATAAAACAAAATATTTCCAATTACCATGTCAGTTAGCTACACCTTACAAGATAGGTAATTAAATTGATTCAAAATTTTCATTTCAGAAGGGTTTTTGTTTGTTTTAAACACTGCATTTAAACTGGAAAATTCAGCTAACTGTCCAGTGCATTCTATTTTCCTCCTAAACTTTCTAGTATTCAGAAGCATAGTCAAATGATAAAGTGAAAGTGTGACCAACCATCACAGTTTCCCTGAGACTCTTCCAGTTTGATCATCAGAGTCCTGTGTCCCAGGAAAGATTAAGATAGTTGGACATTTTGATCACTTGGAAAGGTTCTGGAATAACATTTTTCTTTGCTTCATAGAAAAATTTCAGTGTTCTAAGCACCTCTTACTTAGTTTTTTTTTTAAGACATTCAGTAGACTCCAGAATCCATGATCTCAGTTGGAGTTTTGGCATTGCTCTTCATTGTGAGACATAGGGCAACTTACTTAATAACTTCAAGCATCAATTTCCTTCTTTTAAAAGCCCATTCCCCATAGAGTGTTACTCTCTCAGCCTAGACACACAGGGGAGGGCCTAGGCCCTGCCCCAAATGATGTGACAGACATTAAGGATCCCCCATGGAAGGCCTCACCCTCCCTGAGGAGCAGAAAAGAGAGGGGATGGGGGGTCAGTGAGAGGCATGAGAGGGTGGGAGGGTAGATTGTTTCTAATGTTAAAAAAAAAAACAAAAAGTCAAAATCAGTACTAATAATACCAGTTTTGTTGGATTGGTATAGATAATGAGAGTTTGCAGATGTTATGTTATTTGGTATGCATTATAAATGAACAATTATTGCTAACAATAATAATAACTATAAATCCTTTATAGTTATTAATTACACAAGATTTAAGGGATGGTGTTTAAAATACATTTCTTCTCCCTAATAGTCTGGAGGTACCACTTATATACCAAAGGCTGCATACTCATTCTCACTGATTCCTAGAAGTACAAACACTCCATCAGAACTTCTACCATACTATTAGTTACCACATATGAATAAAACTGAAAAAGAAAAATTCACATTTCAACACTAATAAGGATTGTCTAGCACATGATTAGCTGTGGGGCTGGATAGATGGTTCTGTGGTTAAGAGTGCTTGGTGTTCTTGCAGAAGAACAGACTGTGGTTCCCAGCACCCACATCAGGTAGTGCACAGCCACCTGTAACTTCAGCCCCAGGGCTTCTGATACTCTCTTTTGGCTTCCATGGGTAACTGCACATTTTGTGTGTGTGCGCCACACTCACAAACACACAATCAATAAAAATTCAAATTTTTTTAAAAAGTTAAAAATTGTGAAATCTCTACCTCAGAGTATACCAACAATTAAGTAGTTATCCATAATCACCAGAACAAAACAAAACAAAACAAAATATCTTTACTGAGTACTGGCTGCATAAGTAGACACCAAGGAGAAACTAAGCAAGTAAAACACAGCTCTACCCTCAGATTGCTTATACTCTTTGTTCCAAGAAAATTAAGGCCTAAACTGGGAGTTGGGACGGATAAAAACTGATGAAACAGATATAAATCAAGAATGTGCCATGTCTTCTTCACAAGAATGTTGAAGGTCATGAACTAGCAGAATAGGATGGAGATTGACTTCTCCAGTAGGAAATGTGGCCTTGAAAAATGATAATGGAAAACACACTCAGACATGGACCTGAAATGTCTTCTTGTGAACTGGAACAGGAGTAAAAATTACGGTTGGATTATACAGGTAGAAATCCAGAGGATCAAATGAATCAAGAAAGGAAATGTTCATATAGCAAGCTGTCCAGTCAAGACATTGGAGAAGACCCATAACCAGCAATATCGTTCTTCTAGTTTGCAAAGAACATGTCATTCTGTGCAAAGCCTCGACTCAATCTGGGATCCCCAATACCAGTCATTAAGGAAAGAGAGTGATTTATCCTGCTATAATTATTAGGTTCTTACCAAAGGATTCTGTCACTCACTACTGAGCTTCAAAAAAGCCTGGTAGACTTCTGGCTTGTTCTGAGATAGCAGCATATGACACTGACTGAGTTGCTCTGGTCCCAGAAGGCATTGTGGTCAGGTGCATATCCCCCTAGTTTGTTTTCCCCTTATACAGTGCCTTTAAAAATATCCCTATTCAGTGGTATTTCCAAGCTTTGCCAATAACCAAGTGCCAGAAACTGTTGTCAGTGAAGTAGATGACAAAGGAGGTCTTTCAAGAAACCCAAGCAATCAGGACACTACAGAGGTGTGACACAAAGTGAACTCTGCAAATCTCAGCCTCATACTTAACTCACCCAGGTCAGACCCTCCCTAAGGCCTCTCACTTCACCAGAGACCTAGAGGAGCCCTCGCTTTCCCAGTTGAAGCAATTGCAAGTGCTCTCTCCTGGTTTCTCCCCCACTCCCTCACCTTTGCCATGCTGTAAGTAAGTTATGCCAGCAAGCAGATCATTACAACCATCACGAGCCAGTTAAGCATTGTGCTCTACAGGGTTTCAGTGTCTGTGGCTGAATACACTTGTAGCATTTCATCAGAAATGAAGATTTTCTTGAAACCTATTTTGTCTATAGCTTGGCTTTATTTTAGCCCACAAAATAATTTGATGCCTAATGTGAGATAAGTGAGAAAATTACTCAATGGCATTGAAAATGCCTCAGAAGCTACACAGAGAAACCCTGTCTTGAAAAACCAAAAAAAAAAGAAAGCAAGAAAGAAAGAAAGAAAGAAAGAAAGAAAGAAAGAAAGAAAATGCCTCAGAAAAACAACTTGACATAACAACAATAAGCCTTCCTTGTCCCCACCAGGGACCACTGGGGCAGATTTGTATTGGGACAAAGGAGGTGAACACATTCTTAGCAGTTAATAGGAGTACCCCCTGCATTTCTTGATAGCAAGATGTCCTATTTGAGTTCCACTGCCATGCAAGTAATGCTCGAGCGCTCAGCATTTCTTTGGGCATTTCATCACTTTGGGCACGCCATCTGCCCAAAGACAGAAAGTGCCATATAGAGAGCAGGGAGGTCAGATAACTTGCTCAGGCCCATACAAAAAGGTAGAAGCATAACTTGTACTACCACTCAGGTCTCCTACAGCAGGGAATGTTGGTCTTACATAACCTGTGCCATTGAGCAAGAATAAAATCCACCCTAGTGTGCACACATGTGCATGCACGCGTGCATGCGCGCACACGCGCACGCACACACACACACACACACACACACACACTGTCTCTACAAACACAAAATCTATAAAAGGGTTTCCTGAAGTTCCTGCCTCTAAATTATCTGAGTTTTAAGTTAATACCAGAGTGTCTAGTTGTTGGAGATAGCAGATGTCCCAGGCATTACCATTGTGTTCATCTCCTCCCTTCTCCCATTCTTGGCTTCTGGCTTTCCAGAAAATCTGATACACACTACATGGAGGTGAGTTCATCCACCCTCCTGCCATACAGAGGTTTTGAAGCACTTAAAGTGATAATCCTAAACCATTTTTTTCCTGGGGTTGCTTTTCACCTGCATTCAGTATAGAAGAGAATAATTTACAGAGTGGGCCAGTCCTCCCCATTCCGAGTCTCAAAAATTCTTACAGGGTTTTATTTGTTCCATTCCTCACCCTTGATTTTACCCCCATTAGAAGCTCAATTTGTTAATGACATTCTGCTTGTCCTCATTGTCAATGCTACCCAGTGATATTTTTTTTGGGGGGGGGGTTCGAGACAGGGTTTCTCTGTGGCTTTGTAGCCTGAACTGGAACTAGCTCTTGTAGACCGGGCTGGTCTCAAACTCACAGAGATCCACCTGCTTCTGCCTCCCGAGTGCTGGGATTAAAGGCATGCGCCACCAATGCCTGGCTGCTACCCAGTAATTTAAAAGTCCTCCCAGTTTCAGGTCCACTGAGTAGTGTGGAACTCCAATTCCAAGAGAACCTCAGGGCAGAATTGTCTGAAGGACTATAGAAATTCCAAGAACTACTTCCAGCACATATGGAGTCATCTCATCTGGGCCCTAGTTTGCAAGCCTTTCTAGGCACCATTCAAAATACACTTGCACCTGCTAAAATTCCCTAAGTTCTGCGTGGGGGGGTCTAGATAGCCAAAAGGTTCAGTACTGGTAGCCTATGAACCCAACGCTCCCCTAACCCACCCAATGCCCCTCAGGAACTTCCTGGTTTGCCCCCCTGTCAGAGGTGAAGATCCAGCAGAAGCTGGTGGCAGGGGGCCATGTCCCTCTGGCCAGCTACCCACCTGTGGAAGAAGAGCAGAATGGAAAGCATGGTCTGGTCGATGTTGCGGTTGCAAATGCCCTCGTTGATTAGGTAGCAGGGGTCCCGCAGCACGGGCTCCAAGGA